AGTTCTTCATCTTGACCACACCCCTCTCTTCCCCTTTTGTTCCTCATCTTCATTATTTCCATCATCTCCTTTGTCATCTTCACCCGTCATTGTTTTCATCCCCAGGACTATCACCATTTTCTCCTTCACGATGACCTGCTTCGTCTCCACCTTTGTTACCCCCACCGCTATCCCCACACATCTTTCCAGTGTGTGCAAAACGCTGACCTCCGCGCCAGGCACCAGTGAGGTAACGATAATGCCTCCCCAAAAGTCTGGTCATCTGCTGCAACGAATGTGTCACTTATTCTTAGCCGTCCACCCTGCAAAGCCACCTTTCACTTTACATGAAATCCTCTTTCTGGGCTTCCTGCTCTTTTCCATCCTTCTCTCTGATCCGGAGACAGTCCCACCCAGCTTCATTTATTTTTATTTAGACTCTACAGAGCATGCTTTTAAACAAAAGGCAAATTGGAAACGTGCTTACGGATGCACACCGCACCCAACCTTGGCTCTGAGGATGAGGGGAATGCACCTCCTCTCCAGAAGCTTCAAGAGTCTGCTGATAAAATGCTTCCCCCTCTGCTTCCTATCGCCTCAGAGTGCACCCCAGAGCAGGTCCCTGGGATGGGCGCCACAGCTACGAAGAGAAGAGAGTCCTGTGTCACAGGTCTTCTGCACCCTGTACCACCTTCGTGTCACACAGCTGAGGGATGGGGCTTTTCTGTATGGAGCTGGAAGCCAGCCTCCTCTAGGGGCCTGGGGCCATCTCCCTTCCTCTCTGAAACCTGTTAAAACCTTGCAACTGCAGCTGGTGATGACCAGGCATGAAGTAACGTTTGAGCCTCAATGTCCTGTGTCTGGTAAACGCGAAGCTGCATTCATGAGTGGGGGGCCCGTCGTGTTCCCTGTAAAGTACAGCATTAGCCATCCACCCTCCCTGCCCAGCCATACACCTCACACTGACAGGGGATGAAGCCCATCAGGGTAACAGTCACAGGATGGCTGGGCTCGGCATTCCTGGCATGTACACCGACAAGATAAGGGTGCCGGCTGAACGCCAGGGACTTGCTGGCCTTCTATTCATTGCTCATCCTCAGATCGTGCTGGGGACTGTACATCCTGGGAATGGCCCCACACCAGGACGTAAACGCCTCCTCCCTGTCTCCCATCTTGTTTGGACCCCCACGCATTGTCCGCAAGCCACCAACCCTTCCCTTCATCCTTCCCGAGGTCTGCCACCACTCCCACCGCCCTCTTGCTAAACCCTCAAACTCTCATGCCCAACTGCTTTCTGTAAGGCTCCCCGGAAAAATTTCAATTGTCCATCAATTCCATGTTCCTTGTCCCTGCTCTTGCACTGGACGGAAAATCACAAACTTCCACACGCTGATGCCAAACAGCTGACACCTGATCTCTCTCTGAGCAGAGCTGAGCTCAGACCGAGGCCAGCGAGTCATCCCTCTGGCCAAGGTCCACCATGCTTCCTGGAAGGGGTACCCCACTCAACCGGGACCCCAAACTCAAATATCATCACTCTGCAGTGTACTACAACCTAAAGTCTGTAGCAGCTGTGTGCCTGTTTACCTCATCCTGAAGGACTGTCTCCCAAGCACTCGCTGGTATTGATCGGCCTTCTCTAAAAGGCTCCCTGTCCCTGGAATCCAGGTCTTCACTTCTCATCTTTCCACCATCTCTGGCTTGTTCTTTCTTTCTTCTTCTTTTTTTTTTTTTTTGGTGGGGGGCACTTTTCCTCTTCTGCCCTTCCTCTGAATGTCCTACCTGGCTTTGCATTTTCAGTATCCACTGGAAGTGAGCACATTATTTTGACCCTTTAAAGAAGACCCCATTTATCAAGAATTAGATCTTTAAAACACCGAAGATGGAAAGTGGATGTGCTGCATACCAAAGGAGATACGCAGCTTTGCAGCTCAGATTACGTCCTATAAAGAAGGAAAGAATGGCAAGAAGATTGGCCTTGTGTTTTTAGGCCCTGTGATGTTAGTGTTGGAGAAGTAGGACCACAGAGAGGTTGATTTCTAAACTTTTATCTTGGGTGTCGACAGAGAGCTCGAGTGTTGAGTTAGGCTGCTTGGAACATCTGTGAGAAGCAATCTCACCCACCCCCATGGTTGCACTGTCATCCTCAGGTGTAAGAGGAAGACACGATTTCCTAGCGATTCCAGCACCTTGGACAGGGTGTTGCACCTGTCAGACACTTGACCCCCATGATTTGACCTTTAACAATGAATGACTGAGCACCTTGTATGTCAGGCTCCCACAACCATCTCAGTCCGACAGTCCTAGAAAGAATCCACTCTTAAATGGATAACCCATCAGACTCCCGTCCAACGAGCCCAATCTTGGTTAGAAGTCCGCTGAGCGTGTGAGGGGCACTAACCAAATTGCACCAGTGTTTTGTTTCTTACCACCACCCAGATGTCTTGCAAAATGAGGCCATGGGGTGGACCACCTGTGCTGGCACTCCTGCTCGCCCCTTATGAATTATGTAATGAATACACCTGGGGCAGGTGCATGAGCCTGTCCAAGCCTCACACGCATGCTGCTGACAGCACACAGGCAGGGGATGCACCTGAAGGCCGGCAGCAGGCGCAGCACATGCTCAGAGGCAGGACATGACTGGGACTGCACGTTGGCCCCTGTCCAGTTGCACGGCGCTGGGATACTTCCAGGATTTTAGCCGGCCTCGCGTGGTTTCTCTGCAAGGCCCGTTTGGGAGTCCTGACCCCCTGTCTGTGTGGATGCTTCCCTCGGTTATCCTAACAATACTAGACAGAGCAATGGCACAGCTAGGAATTAGGCAACACGCCATAACGATGTAGGGTGGAACAAGTCATTTGCAAGTCATGGTGGACAATTGAATAATAAAGGTTCTCTGTTATCATCACGCCTTTACAGGATACAGAGAAACCCTCAGTGGAGAAAGCGATGCTCCATGTAATTCTGCCATCTCCCCGGGTTCTGAAAGAAAATGCTCGGAATGACAGAGATGTGGCCTCTCCGGCTAATTGCATTTTCTCTCCTGGCTGCCTCTGTGCAGGATACATTACTTTTTAAGCAAGGATTGCCATTCTGTTTGATTACACAATTATTCAGAATGCTACAGTCCCCTTGTGTGAAACAGTACAAAGCTCTTCTTGGAAAGGACTATTCCCTAAAATGCTCAGGTGTAGGGGATTTGTAAACCAGCAGACGCATCCTGGAAATTAAGGGAATGGCTGAAGGGGAGCATTTTATCTTTTGGCAAAAAAGGAAAGAACACAGTCACAGGGTATGATATTGGGGTCTTCATGGACATCTTAAACACTGAGAAGTAATTTCTGCTCTGTTCTAGAAGGACCAGTAGTATGAAGACACTGGGAGTCAGACTAGGCATATATGCTATTATAATTAAATAAAAACCAATCAATACGTGCGATGATCCCAGCATGAGCTTGCTTGCTAGCCAACATCATAGAGTTGTAGAAAAAGCCCAATTACATTAAAACATAACACTCATTAAAGAGATAAAATATTCAACTGATCTCCACTACTAAGGTGTGGAAATCGTAAACTGATTTACATGCAACGTTTTGAGAAGGAAACATCAAAGGCAGGCTTGTGTGGGTGTACGCAAAACACCGAAGGATAATAGACAAGAAAAGTCTCACTGGGGTGGGGGGAATGTTCTGGGTTCGGTTTTCCAAACCAAAGGGATTCATCATTGCTACTCACTTTTGGTCTTTTACAGGATGACACAGCCTTAGAAAAGGAAGAAACTTGATACTCACCTCATCTCAATTTTTCCTGTGAAAATAGTAGACCTGAGATCTACAGGTTTAAGGCATCTCTCAAGTTCACAGAGGCAGTTCATGAAAGAGTCAGAAACGAGACCAAGGGTCCAGTCTTCTTGTGTGTTAAGATGGTGCTCACTTCAAGATTTAAACAAAACCAAACCTGTTCTTGTCGTCAACACGGTAGGTGATCATCGCCATATGCAATGCACCACTCAAAACCAGCCATCCAGAAACACCGCTCTGTGGCTATGTCAAGTGCTTCTAAAACATCTAGATTCCTAAGTTAAAACCTACCAGTTCAGTGCACAAAAAAAAAAGGAAGGAAAGAATGAGAGAGGCAAAAAAAAAAAAAAAAAAGGGAAAAGAAAGCAAATATGTGAAAATCTTAGCAACCTGCTGGACTGACATTTGGACAATTGGACAATTCTGTCCAATTTGATCCATACAGGCTGAGCAGTGTCAGCCCCAGGGAGGACGCCACTAGAAGAGAACAGGGACCTCAAGCACACTGCAGCTCCCGCTCACCTCCCTGTCCTTTGCTCAACCTACTTACACTCACTTCCTCTACACCACGCAGTAGGCGCAAGATCACCTAGCTGTGCAGAAGAACATCAAAGGAACCACGATCATATTATCTCATGAAAGAGTGAAAGATAGAATTTTTAAAGAAAACCTCAATGAGAAGTCTTCCCAGCACCTCTGAAAAAAAGTCACCTTCTCAGCAATAGGGCAATCTGCTTCCGAAGAAAGAGAGGGGACACGGAGAAGAAGGGACCTTTGAGGCTCCAAGAGGGGCAGAACACCAGCCTGGAGAAAAGGAAACATGGTGGGTGGTGGCCATGGGTAACAGCAGCCATGGAAGCCCCGCGCTGCCTGCAGAGGCTCGTCGGGGCTGTGGCTGGCCGAGGTCTGCTGGTCCCACATGCACCACTCCTCTGTTCTCCATCAACCTCTGCTCACTGCCCTGAGACTCCGGCTTCCCTCGGCTGCACAGCGACTGGAAACGTGTCCACGCACCGAGGACTGAGAATGATTCTACGTTCTGTTTACCTTTCACCCTTCATGTTCGGGTACCTTTTTTTTTTGCACAACAAACCACCAAGCTGAAACAACTGGCTACCTATGAAGGCATCAGGAACACAGACGGAAATCCATAGGAAATATGCTCAGGAGAAAATTGTCGGCCGCATCTTACGCACATATAGTGGATAAAGACACACATACCAATGCTCCAGTCCATTTCCTCGACAGCATCCCCGTAAGTGCCATGTTTACTTTTGCCGGCAAACTCCTCGGAAGAGTAGAGGGCCGTGTGCACGTGCAGGTAGGACAGGACAAGCAGGAACGGTGTGTCAACGTTCCTGGAAAAGAAAAAAGGGGCAGGGCAATATAAATATGTTTGCCACAGCTTTAACGGGGACCAAATCACACTAGCAGATGCCATTTGAACATACAGACAACAACACAGAAGGATGCCCAAGAGCGCACGCTGCATTCAAGGAAGGGAGTCTCCACAGTGCCTGTCGGGCGACTCACTGTCACCCTGTACGAATGAGCAGACATTCTTTGATGTCACAACCCAGAAAGAAATGCAGTGGACAATGGCCTGCTGCTTCCACAATTCTACTCTTTCCTCTTTATACAGTGATTAATACTCATCCAAATACTTTCAAAAGAGTATTGTCTTTGGAATGCATGTGCACACACATGTACGTGCACACACACACACATACACAATGTAGTGAAGACAGTATCTCGAGTTGTTATCACATCAATCTTTCCAAGCCATGCACACAGCCGTCTTCAATGACAGTCCAAGTCTCTTGGAACAGAGACTTATTTGTCAACACTGAAACTTTGGCTGTGAGGGCAACATCATTTGCAACAGCCCAAATCTATACTCTAAAGTTTCATGTTCTTGCAAAAGTATTTCTCAGGTCTGAGTGCACCTAAACCCAGTCTGTGGTACTTACTGAGCACACACAGATGATGGGCAGTTGTCAGTGCCAAGGGGTGGCCCTCCTGACACCTGCTGTGAGCCTGGTTCATGCGGGGAGGCTGGGGCTCCCACCTGAGCCTGCTGAAAGGGGTTGCTTTCTCTTACATAATAGATAATAGGCTCAGTATTTACTGAGCCTGGGAAGGCATCTGCCATTGCTTTCTGGCTAGACGGGAACAGAGCGGGAGTGCCCTTTTGGAGGCTAGTGGCGCCCCGAGGCAGGCGGGGCTGGAGGAATGGGGAGCCCGACAAAAGCCAGGTGTCAATGATTATGTTCTGCCCTGGCCGAGCACCTGGGCACTGCCCACATGAGGCCAGGAGACGGGGCATGTCCTTCCCATCACCGAGCTCCTGGCACCAGCCCAGTTGACGGCCACTAGCACCCGTCCCAAAAAACTCGATTATTCCCAAAATATCGCACTGGCTCTCCCAGGTGCAACCACCACCCTAGTCATCCCAGAGACTCATCACTGTACTACGGTTTCTGTAAAAGTCGCTCTATCTCGAGTCGGTATTGTTATTGATGGATCTCTGGACTTCCAGCCTAAGCCAGGTCTCAGCTCAAGTTTCTTCTGCCAACGCAGTGCCTTGGGGGTCAGCCCCTCACAACTGCTGCCAACCATGCTTCACCCCGAGGGACTCACCCGGCACTAAACCCTCACCTTTCAAACAGGACATAAGCACAAAGGCTCACATGTGACCTAACCCAGGTCCCTCCTGACTGGATTCAGCACATCGTGCTTGGTCATCTGTAGAAGCGTTTGATGGTTTCAATGTTTGTTGATGAACTCTGTCCCTTTTTTTTTTTTTCTTTCAAGAGTCTAAGATGAAGGAATGTTCTTATTACTCCACAACAGAGAGAACAAACCAACAAGAATTAAGTTGTAAGTGGTGTGTCCCACCTCCAGGAGCAACTGGGCTTCGAAGGTAGGAGAATTGGAATGTGCATCAGATCTGTAATTTACTACTGCTTCTCGGAAAAGAAAGAAGGTATGTTAATGCTCAGAGCTGTCCTGACAGCTGATGATTGATAGGGGACCATCTCAACTAAGCATCTGTGTGGCTACTTGAAGGGTAGATGCCCCCAAAGGTCCTATAGGGGACCTGAAAGTAAGCCATGTATGGACTTGGTGGGTACGCCTCTATCTGGTTATTCTGGGAGAAGTTCATTGACACGTGGACAAAGCGCACTTCCTTCTCAAGGAGCAGGTTATGGCCCTAAACCCAGTGCAGATTTCCCAAAATGAGCACACATTTACACACTTCATACTCAACCCTCAGCAGACAGGTCCACGATTGAGGGGCACGTTTGACTCTCACCCACTCTCCCATTTTTTTACAATTAAGAAAACCAGGTACAGGGAGCTTAGGAAGTCAGCCTTCCCAGTATGCATGTGGTCTAGGCTGGAACTGCAGCATGAAGGGATCAGATGGGCTGAGAATAAAAACCAGTGGCCCTCCCAACAACATGACACAGAGACCTCGCTGAAGAGCCAGACGCAGTCAGCATCGCTGGGTGAAATCCCAAGACGGAGGCATTTAGAATCGTGAGCTGGAAATGAAGAGAGAAGGGCTACAGTTGGCCTGACAAGCTAATAAAGGGGGCTCGAGATAAAGGTGGGTCATGGGCAGGGCAGAAAGACCAGGTGAGCAGAAGACGTGCCACATAGCTGCTCCATCAAAGCCACAAAACAGGGTTCCCATCTTGCTATTTGGAGGACCTTCCATGGAAGGGGGCAAGGCCCTTCCGGCATTTATTATAAAAATGTGCACATTTATAAAAGTGTACCCCTCTCCACCCCTTTACAAAGCAGCGGTTTTCTTCATCCAGTAGACATCAGAGATATCCAGAGCCAAGGTCCTGGGTGTCAAAGCAGAGAAACTAGGTTTTCTATACAAAACGAAGCCTGGAAAATGTAGGAAAGAGCGCCTGGCTTGCTAAAATACCATAGCACGAAGATTCACCATCCATGAACAGAGATGCATGCAGTGGAGCCCTCGAATGTAGGCTGGACAGACATACACCATGGGCTGTCCTACACATGCCGTGGACGGCGACTGGCTGCTTGCTCTCGTGGGGAGGCATCCAGAGAGCAGGAAAGGCCACCTCCCTCAGGGCCACGCCAGCGGAGGAGGCCCAGGCTGCTCTTCTGTACGACCTTGAAAACTGAATGACGCTTGGGCAGGGTGGTGGGAGTGAGCTTTCTCAATAACTGCTTAACTCCTTTTTTATGAGCTGGAGCGCTTCAGCAAACAACTCTTTCAAGAATTTATGGCCACTGTCTTGCATGCTGTGTGAAAAGATGGAACTTTCAGCTGCTACATGTCTTCCTTCTATTTGTTAAAAATACAGATGGCCGCTCTATGCCTTCCAAGCAACCTGCAGTGATTTCAATCTGCAAATCAAAAGATGTACATGCTATAAACGCACAAGGGAAAATCTAGGCAAGAAGATGGCTACAGTGTTATTTTTTTTCTGTGTGCAGGGAAGGTCTTTTAAGTAATGTTTCTTATCTGAGGGTTTGACCTTTATTAGTCAACAAGTGCCCTAGCTCACGTCAGCGTAGTTTAAGAGTACAAATGGCAATGTCCACAGGTTCTCCTCTCTGACAGCCCTTGGAGGCTGGTGATTCTCAACAGTCACACCACCAGAGATCCTGTGGCCACCACTGTGTGCAACAGAGACAGACGTACACATGCAACCGTTTGTTTCGTCCCTCCATACCTCCCCCGTCTGCCCAGAGAGCGTTCTGCTAACACAACACGAGGGGCTGGAAGTATAAAGAGCAGGCCCACCAGACTGGCCATCAGTAACCCACATTCAGACTAGAACATGAAAGATGAGTCTGAGCTGACTGAAGGCCACAACAGCAGAACAGACGGTGGACATGGAGAAGGGGAGCAGGTTATGACCAGGCAGGGCTCAGAACCTGCCCCTGCAGAGAGGTTGATGGCGGAGGTTCTTGCAGCGTGCCAGTGTGTGAGAATGCTGACACGTCACTGCTGGAGCTATTCCCGTGGATGGTATTCAGACGTGTGCACTGGACAGGGGCAGAGCTACTGCCAGGTATTTACCAGGTGAGCTAAAGGCACAATGTCGAAGGCATGTGTCCCCAAACTATTCATTTGGTAATCCACAATAATTCTTTAAAATAAAAACCCATATACATGAAAAGTGGCCCAGAAAGGTATCACAAACATGCAGGCATTGCTCTAGCTCAGGCTGCAAAGGCAAATGGACTCATCAAACATTGGCAACTGTGTTAATTTCCTACTTTCTATATTCTGATGACCACTTTAATGTTTTTAAGAAGCACATGCCATTTTTGTAGCCATAAAAGAGGAAGCTATGACTTAAACACACACATAAAGTCAAGAAAACTATGACAGTCACCTCCTCCCCACACAAACGGAGGCTGATGAAATGGACGGCATTTTAGACTTGAACGGCGGGCTCATTTTCATCCTGCCCACGCCCTCCCAGCCACGGTAAGCACCCAGCGTCCCCACAACGGCCTCGTCCATGCCACTTCCCACTGGGCTCTCTTTCCATGAGCATCCTTCACAGACACCTCGCCTATGGCTCTGCACGTTCCTTTAGATGACACAGATTGGCCCCCGTCAGGAGTAAACCGAGGACATCACACTAGGAGCCGACCACCCTCACCCCCCACTCCTGGCTCATTCTCAACCAGAAGTTAAATGCCTGAGTTTGTCCACCTGTTTGCCAGAGAACAGGTGGAGGAAAAAGACTTGGAGGCTCTGGTTTCAGATGACCCGGCGTCCTTCACTAGGTCCCCTAATGCAGAGAGTGGAAGATTCTGAATGTCTGTCGGAATAAGAAAGTTCACAATGTCCCTTTGTTTGAGATAATATGAAGAAATAATTGATGTCGTTGGAATAGAAATTGTGACCCTAAGGAAGGAGATGGACTCCAAAGTGCCTTTGGAAAATCGTCTACCTCTTTTTAGCTACTGGAAGACTCCACCGCTTCTTTTCCCTCCTCTTGACGTTCACGTGCATCTTCTTTACTCCCAACTCGTAATACACTGGTGTGAGGCACTGCCCATGTTTAGCAGAGGCGGCGTCCACAAGCTTTCTGGACTGAGACCCTTCCTCTCGGGAGGAGTCCAGCTAAGTGGACACAAGCGTCGTCATAGGCTGTCTCTGGGGACAGGGCAGGCATGCAGCCAATGGGCGGCCGAGCCTAAGGGCTCTTCAGCACGTGCTCAGGAGGAGGTGTGGCAAAAAGCTCAGCATGTTCTACAGGGACGGGAGGGCACCCCCTTTGGACAGACCCCCGCCCCCAAAGAAACTTCACAACAGAGCCTGTGTTCAACCCATCAGAGAAAATTCATATGC